GCGATGCATGACGCCCCTGTTCCATCCCCCAAAAACGAAAGAAAAAATATATATATAAAAAAAGTGGAATTAAGGGGAAATTCATACATTCAGGGTGGGGGGCACTGAGTAAACATGAATTATTCTGATTGTTATCGGAGCGGAGAGCACTCAGGATCAAAGAAATTCGACCACACTCAAATCCCAAAGCGTGAAATATTCTCAACTTCCATTTCTACGAAATTATACTAAAAAATCCCTGGGGCAAAACGGACCCCTTGGATTCATCAATTTTCCCTTTTTTGTATGTATGTCTGTATGTGTGTGTATGGGGAATTTTTCCATTGATTTTCTTTGATTGCTCACCCTCATCTCCTAATTAATTTTTTTTTTTCAAATGTAGATCTCATCGGGCCTTATCTATCGCAGTCAATAAAAATTGATTTCATCCATCCATTTTTTTTATTTTCAATTTCTTCGGAAATTCGATTTTTCATGATAGCTCTAAAAAAATAATATTAATAAATTATAAATTATATATAATTATTAATATATTAATTAATAAATGATATTAATTAATTTTTCCTCTTGTTTGATGTCCTCTTGACCGAATTTGAAGATGGTGACAGCAATAATCGCTTTTTCAATTTTAGGGGAATCCCAATTTTTTTTCCTACGAAATCTCGGCGATATCTTCGTATACCAGGCAGAAGATAAATGAATGGTGGCTGAAAAAGTTTATTTGAACACCATTAACTTGAACTTTAGTCATAAAAGTAGTTACCGAATCATTCTATCTAATGAAATGAGAATGAAAGGTTATTTACAAAAGAAAAAGATAACACGGAAAATAACCGTTCGGAAGCATATTGATAATTTTTTTAGCAAAGATAAGTATATGATGAAGAGGAATTCCCCAACTTGTTTTCACTTCCATCTTTATAAAAATCCTGACATTTTTACGTAATTTATATAATTATGTACTGATTCTATTGAACATCTGAAAGAAATTTGTCAATATTTTTTATTAAAATATCCGATAAAATCATTGCTAAATAAAATATCAGAAAACATTCAGAAATTCAACAGAATCTTTAGATAAAGCGCAACGTTTTTCTATTGAATTCGTCGACGTGCAGGGGTTCTGGATAATAGTTCTAGTGTAAAGCGGAATAATTGCGTAACTTCCGGTAAAATTCCCCCAGAGGTAATTAAAATGTCCTCAGACGCCCCATCGGGTCGTGAACACCGAAAACAATGAATTTTTGAGTGAGAGGAATTGTCTTGAGAATTTTTTTGATTGTCAAAAAATTAGTCATCGGATTGATGAATTGACGGCGGTAGAGAGGTACCAGAGGAATGTCTAGGGCCAGACGAAGCCATAAAAATTAATTAGACAGCCCCAGGGCCCCACGTCCTCATTCCCTTTTTTTCTCTTTTTCCTTTTTCGATTCTTGATACCTGCCGGGCCTGTCATCGATTCTCCAGTGATTGATACCAGAATTTTTCTTCGGAAATTCCTTCAGGGGTTGAAACACACGATCGGTGGAAGAGATCATTTCCGAATTGTCGGAATTACTGGAAAGTAAATAAATAAAATTACGAGATATGAGTAATAAATTATGTAATTATACTTACCACTATACTACCAGAGAATATTTATGTATTTACCGGAGGATATTTTACATATTTATAAAACCAACAGGTGATTATTCAAAATTTCTGTTGTGAAAGGGTTAACTAGCATAGGGTTTTTGCAAATATCTTGGAATTGAAGAGAGATAATAATATTTTCATTAAGATCATTTTTGTAGCTCCCATTTTTCTCTATAAAAATGTATTCGCAAAAAAATTGCTATCTGCCTTCAGTTCCGAGGTATCACCTAAAAACTGAACTTGACTAGAATGTATTCTTCTAATTCACCACTTTCTTGCAGATTTCGAAGAATTCAATTCGGAGGCGAGTGAAAAAAAATTATAAGTTCATGACTATGAGAATTGCAAAATCGATTGTAGACAATCGTATGATTCCCAATATTCCTCCATTATTATCGCTGACAATGAGCTTTTACAATGAACTTCACTCGACGCACAACTTTAACCAATGAAATCTCGTCCTGTCACTCCCGTAAATTGGAAAATGCAGGAGAGAAAAGTGTTATCTCGACGTCAGAAAAAAATGCTTTTAGTTTATCTATAAAGAAATTGGGGGCCCAAGAGTATTCACCTCGGGGGAAATCCGGCCCCTCGTTCTCTGTTCGGAATGCCGGTAATCAGTCTAATTAAGTCGTTCGAACGTTAGAATTTTCTTATTTTATTCTCAGATAATTTAGATGTTACATGCCCAATTTCAACATGTAGTTTACAGTTTATCATTTATGCCACCCGTCGGCTTTTACTTTTACGACCTGAAGAGAATATTTCGGGCCCTAGACCCCGCGAGGGGTGCGGACACGTGGGAATTACAATTTTTAGATGAAATATGATGGAATTTTTTTCTTTAAATCAGTTTCTTATATTATGAAGTAATAGTTATTATTATTATTTGAAAAACAAATCGGAGGAATGACCTGTAGAAATTTTATGTGAATTTTTAGGTAAAGTGTAAAGTAGAATTTAGCTTTTGAAATTTCCTTTTAGAAAATTCAGAATAACTTTTTTTTAAACTTCTACTCGGCTCTAATTAATTCCGTTATTTTGATTTATTCCGACACATTACGGATATACCGTAGCCATCATAAATAGTATATAGTAAATAATATATATAGGTGATTCTTTTTATTATCATTACAAGATAATACCTGATATTAAGGGGGCAAGTCAGTGCTGAATGACCAGATATTTCCTTGAACATTCTTGAAGAAGAATAACTTTTCTGAATACGTGATTTACCAGTCGGTGCTGCGATATTCAAGAGTATTTATGTCAGTACCGTGTCTTAAATAATTAATTTATTCATCATTCGCTCCATCATATCACACATCACACTCGGAATTGACATACGAAACGTGCCGCCACATGTTTCTTATTTATTTCATTCAATTTGATAATTTTCTGCTACCGTTCTCAAGAAATGTCTCAAAACGTACCGTCAATGTCAATACCGTGACTTTCTGAAAATGTCCTCCAGATGCCATACTGATTGACATGGGTACTTGAAAATTAGTCCGCTCGGAAAGTACATCAATATCTTTCTACCAGATTCTACCAATGTGTCGACGATCGTTCGACTGAGGCTTGAGGAGCATCCGAATGGCCGAGGTACTGACATAGATATCACTATTTCTGTGGAATCACCCATATTTTCTCCATCGACTGTTTCTTTTTTTTTAAAATCAGGTATAACGGAGTGTCACCGTTTCTCGCCGCACGGCTTAATTAATGATTTTTTAAATTTTTGATAAAATAATATTCAATCCAAATCCTATCCAACGACTCCCCTGACATCACAGAAAAATGTGGAAAAAAAATTCCCCGCAACCAAAAAAAAAACGAAAGTTTAAAAAAATTTTTTTAAAACCGTTCAAAATTTTTTTTTTCGTGACGTCAGAGGAGTCGTTGGATAGGATTTGAATTAGGTAAGAAGGGGAACAGGATAATTCTCGATATAATTTTAACAAGAAAAATTGTATAGATTAATATTGTTAAAATATTATTTAACAATAATTTCAAAAATCGATATATAAAAATGGCGTATCATCCGGCTTGCATTGCTAGTGAGCCGCGGATAGTTCCAGTAATAAAAAAAATTATGGGATCGACGGAGACGATTGACAATTGACAATAGAATTTCCAGTTGGCGGAGTAATTGATACATTACAAATGGTCCCACCAGGGACCTGAAGGACAACCGATACGAGGGAGACTACACAGTTGAAGTTTTGTGATACCCCATGACGGTATCGCCTTTACGCTTGGCTACTTCCATTTCCCCCTAGCTCTCGTATCCTCTCTTCCCCTAAAAATGACAAAAACAATTCACCCCTTACCCCTGACCTGAAGCTGAAAAAATTCTAATGGATGTGGAAAAATTCAACCGCTAATTGCGCTTTTGCTATGGTCAGGTGTGAAATTCGTCTAGTCAGAAAGTCGATAATTTCTCGGGTTCCGGGGCAAATGAGGAATTTTAGAGGGAAATCGACGATGAATGGGGCTTTTGTTCTGGGTCGAGAGAATTTTCAGGTGCAAATCATCGGACTGGCGTATCGCCAGGAGAATTCATCCACTATTTTTCATTCACCAAAATTTTTCTCATTTCACCGGTAATTTGTTTATTGAATCATAGCCCAAACCCGGAAGATATCTGGATGGAAATTTTTCACCTGAAATGTAAACAAAAAGAGTATTGTTTTAATTTTTGTTTATTATTTCCTTTAGTTCTATTTTATTTTCACATTTTCAAGGGGAAAGTTCTTTCTTTTTGCATTGAATTTTGGAAAATTATTTTTATATCAAATTTTTTTATTTCAATCGGTTTAGTTTAATCAGTTCGGTAATTATGACAGTAATTTATTTTTAATTTTTTGGTGGTATTCCGAGTAGTCAGGGGAACCGCTGATTAAACCCGATTTTGATCAATTAATTAATTAATGCCTTTGGCAGGGTCGCATGCTGATTATCTCGAGGATTTAATTACGTAATTGAATGTGTGTGCGCGTTTTACATCACAGTGCAGTCGATAAACAAAATTCCTGCCGTAGATAACTTACCGATGAGTCTAGAAAATCATTAAAAAAAACTCTCTTCCTGTTTCCGGTATTTGTCTTCTCATCAAAAGCTCATAATCTTATGAAGAAAATTGGAAAAATTTATTCTCCACTGGTGCCTTATCCCCAGAAAACCCCGAGATATCCAAAAATTCTCAAAAACATCTGTAAATTGCATTTTTTTTTATTTTTAAATAATAATATCATAAATCTTTAAATTTTCAAACTTGTAAATAAGTTGTCAAAAAAAAATTTCCTAATTACCAAAACAAAAAAAAACTCGCATCAGCCGCTGAAAATTTCAACTCAATCTCAAATTTTTCCCAAAAAAATTCTCAAAATCTAAAAAAAAAAAATTAAATCGCTTCTCCCCAAGAAAAATTTTAAAAAATAAATAAACAAATAAAAATTCTGCCCAAAAGAAACTGCTTGACAAAAAGGGAGAAAAAATAAAAAAAAAATTCGCCCGAATATAAAAAAAAAATTCCAAAAAATCTCCACTGCGCGAGTATTCCCTCCCCCTAGGGACGAAAATTCCCCAAAATTCCCCAGTGGTCATTCCCCAACGACTCCCTCCAAAAATGAGTGGTGCCATTGGCAGCATTGTTTTTTGGTAGTTTACAAATAAAATGGCCGATATATGAGGCTTATTTTGTATGTGACGGTAATAAAATCCCAAATAATCATAAAAAAAAAGTAACCCCAGGTACAAAACCGAATTTTGGCAATTACCAGGATATTATGACAAGAGCGACACCATCAAAATCATCAGGAATACCAAGTGTTTGTGCGGGAGTGTCGCGTTACCAAGTAGATGGATAAGGTTGTCTTTTTCTCCACCGTGGGTTGACCGTGTGTTCGTTAGACGCCGCGGTGTCCTCTCTCTTTTTCCATTCTCCACCTCACCACCCCCTCCGCCAAAAGCCAAAAGAAAATTTCATTGAAAAAAAAACCCCCCCCAAAAGTGATAAACAACAAATCAACAGATCCACCATCCAAACCCAACTGCTGAGGAAAATCTCCAATCTACCACTTCTCCCCCAGATATCGTGACAAAAAAATCCTCAGCAGAAAGTGCTGTTGCCCAATCGCCAGAATTGCCGCCAGAATATCCTACATCACAAGTGCAGAACACCAGAAGGCTGTTTTGTTTGTAAACCATACCATCACGTTATCATTCGAGGAGGATTTATTCGAAGCCACCAGGAGGACAGAAGAATCAGGGCTCAACAATTGGCCACGTTGAACATCTTAACCCATCGACACGAGAATCAAAAGCCCATGTGAAATAATTGACGAGTCCTGAACAGTCGGGTAAAAACAAAAAAAAAAGCAAAAAATCTCTTGTCCAGATAAAATTTCCCTTGCCCCCTCAAATGTTAGATATTCCATCCTAGCAAATAATCCTACAATATCCACAAAAATAATCGACTGACAAATGCAATTATCATCGTGATTGAAAGCTGTGGGCAATCCCCTGGCAGGTATCCCCCTATCCACCAAAATTCCCCCAAAAATTCCCTCAAAATCATCAATAATTAACAAAATAAACAGTGCACAAGATAAATCGCATATAAAGCGTCCCGAAAAGGGGCGCAGATATGCGAGAACAATATCACCTCCCCCCGTAGTGAAAGAAGAGATCGAAATTATTCAAAATATTGACAACAACATTGAAATACTGGAGTGCAACGGTTACATCTATCACTTAGAGCCCATTAAGATATATCCCGCCGATCAATTAGTTGTTGTTGATACTGTCGGTGTGGACGAGGAAATAGCCCCAAATGATACACCTAAACAATCGGTTATACTCGAAGCTGATCCATTAACAGTGGCAAACGATCAGGATCAGGATCACGCAACCCTGGCCAATATGTGCACAACACCTGGCAATGCTGGCACTGGTTTTGGGTATGCGTGGTCATTCAATCCACCAAACGAGGGTAGAGAGACTAATCAATCAGATCTAACAGCAAACATAAATTATGCTGTCAACAACAATCAGGATCAGGGAACGAGCCAGAAAATTCAGGCTGATGTCAAGCCCAAAGTAGCCAATGCCAATCAGCCTGGACACCGTAGACAGGTGTTTCAGATGACAGACAACTGTCAGAATACCCAGCAACAGCAGCAACAGCAGCAGCAACAACAGCAACATCATCAAGGTGGTGGTGGTGGTACAAGTACTGGCGGTCACAATCAGAGTCATAACACCCATCAGACTCACGTAACACACGTTCGTACAAAAAAACATCACGATGTCTTCTCACTGACCTGTGACAAGGGTGGCTGCAACTGCGATGCATCACACACAACACCAGCACCAACAATATTTCCAAATACCCTCGTCTTCACCACGACAGATAAACACGCCATGAGTAAACACTTTATGACACCAATTGGTCCAATACAGCTGACAGCTGAGGAGTGCAATGAGATACTGATGAAACGAGCTGCTGCTGCATCAAATCAGGCCAACACCAACAACGTCAATCAGAGCCAGGAGCACTTTGGTCATGTTGTCACACACGTTAATACAACCCAAATAGACACTAAGGTCAAGCAACAGGACATGGGGAGCCAGGCGAGAGTGCCCAAGGAGAGGCCCTACTCGTGCTCAGAATGTGGCAAATCATTTCTCCTTAAACATCACCTCACAACGCATGCCAGAGTTCACACTGGTGAAAGACCTCACATATGCGTACACTGTGGCAAGAGTTTTGCCCATAAACACTGTCTCCATACGCATCTACTGCTACACAGTGCTGAGAGGCCGTATCAGTGTCGAGAGTGTAAAAAGTCATTTACCCTGAAGCATCACTTGGTAACACATACGAGGGTACACACGAGAGAACGGCCGTTTGTATGTCAGGAGTGTGGTCGGGCTTTTCCATTGAAAAGACATCTCGTGACACACAGTAAATTTCACTCAGGGGAGAGGCCATTTGTTTGTGCTGAGTGCGGCGAGTCTTTCTCCCAGAAGGATCATCTGACGATGCACTCCAGGTTCCATGGGAGTTTGCATCCTTTTGTTTGTTCAGACTGTGGTGCTACTTTTCAGAGGAAATTTGAGCTCGTCAATCATGGGAGGCTGCATGGCAGGGTACCTCACTCGTGCACAGCGTGTGGAAAGGAGTTTCTCCAGAAGAGGACACTTCTCGCTCACATGAGACTACACACTGGTGAAACACCATTTGCCTGCACTGTATGCGGTGAAGCTTTTCCCAGAAAAGCTGACCTCGTTGCACACTCCAAGATGCACAACGCTACCAATACTGATGACAAGTCTCTCACATGCAGGTAAGCATCTTTTTTTTTGCTCATTTTTTATTGTTTTTTTTTTTTGAGGGTCCGTCTGTGGACGGAAGCTTTGGTTAATAGTAATTGTCCAACAGGGAGTGTGGATTGGACTTTTCTAATCGGGAAGCACTTACTTTGCATTTGAGGTTACACTCTGGAGATAGGACACTTGTTACGGATCTATGTGGACTCGCTGCTGCTTTCCAACAGACACCTGGACACTTTCTCACGACCAACGCCACGGGAACGCATCAGGTAAATTTCATCACGTCGAGGCGAATTGCTGCCTTTAAATCCACGTGATGCTTCAATGATAATCAATTAATTTTCTCTCTGTAAAACTTCAGATGAACGGACCAATAGGCACACCAGGTGTATCGCACATGCAAAGTGCAACGCAAACATCACCTCCAGCAGGCAGTGGTCCAAAGCCAAAGCCTCACCTGTGTCCAGATTGTGGTCGTGGTTTTGCCCAAAAGCACGGATTGTCCCAGCATCAGCGACGACACAGCGATGGTAGCTGTCACATAAGATCGCACGTCTGTGATAAATGTGGGAAGGCATTCTTCCAGAAGAATCATCTGCTGCTACACCAGCGTCAGCACATGGATCCACCACCGAGTATATTGAGACAACAGCAGAGGCAAGCAGCACAAGCTGCTGCCCAAGCTGCACAGCAGGGACCACAGCAACAGGTTCAGGCCCAACAACAGCAGCAGCAGCAGCAGCAACAGCAGCAGCAGCAGCAGCAGCAACAACAGCAGCAGCAGCAGCAGCAGCAAGTACAGCAGGTACAGCAGGTGCAACAGGTACAAGCCCAGCAGCAAGTGCAGCAGCAGGTACAGCAACAGCAACAGGTACAGGTGCAGCAGGTACAGCAGGTGCAACAGGTACAGGTGCAGGTGCAGCAGAGCCAGCAAAATCAGACGTGTACTGTCGATACGAAAGCCATTCAGATGCAAACTATTGAGCAACAAGTGCAGGAACAAGTGCAGCAGCAGGTGCAACAACATCAGCAGCATCAGGCGTGCAATGACGATACTAAGGCGATACAGTTGAATGTTACCATGTGAAACGATCCTGGTGACAATTATGAACATTGTGAGGAATCAGCACGACGTACACAGCCTGACGCTGCATACATGCACCCACTTCTCTTGTACTAACAATTTTACACACTTGGTGATGCATTTTGACTGGGTGGGGGTCAGTGGTTTGATGGATTTTTCGGGATTCTGCACATATTTTTGAAATTTGGGGGATGGAGAAATCTGTCAGATCTTGGGGGAGGGGTGGAGGGAATATTTTTTTGAATTTTGAGGGGGATTTCTGGGGCCTGGGGGGAGCAGGAAATTTTTGGCGGGAGTTTTTCAACACTTTTTCTTTTTCTCTTGTTGTTTGAGAGGAGTGGAAAAACTTCTGGGAAAGATTTCTCTGGTTCTGGATGAGCTCCAGATGTTCGATAATGACGATTGATTTTTAATTTGTGAATTTTTGATATAGTATTTTTACAGTTATCAGATTCTTTCGAATTACCAAATATTCGGAGATTAAAAATTGGTCGTTTACTCAAAATGTCAGAGAGTGTTTAATTGAAAATGGGAGAATTATGAGGTTCTCACGTGTTACTCAGGCCCTGGGGATCAGGGGCATCCAGTTGAAATGTTAACTAAATTAGTTATATTTAATATATCTAGATGACGAAAATTAAAATGGAAAATAACTGATGATGGAAAATCGAGCAAAAACAATAGACTAAAACAGGAAACAAAATTCATAAAAAAAAAAAATTTTGAGGATAAAAACAAACAACTTAAGAAATAAGCAAGTAATCGATTTTATTACAAGAGTATATATAAAAATTATACATATTATATTCTAATTCTAACTGTAAGGCTTGTAACAAGAAGTAAAAAAAACAGACAAAAGAAACAAAAAAATAAAAATAACCATATATTAGTGTTTTACATATATATTATTATATATATTATACATACTTTATGTCAAAATTTATTTTCTTTGTTCTCTTTCCGTTTTTTTTTATGGAAAAAATTCGAGTACTAAAAGATTCTCCTATTATGCGATACGAGCAAATTTCGGATGAGAAAGAAAAGGCTAAAGATTCAAACTGAATCATGCGAGGAAAAACATTAATTTGTCTTTTTTAAGTTTGATTAAATGTTTGTTTTTATTGATAGAACTACATTTGCAATTTATAATGAAAATGGGAGGAGCCAGGGGGGAGGAGAAAAACGAAGAAAAAGTATACATATTGAATAAATAAAAAAGAAAAATTAATTCACGCGGAATTGTTATTTTTTGCCGAGTTTGCTAAAATTTTTTATTTATTTCTATCAATTTTTTTTTTTAATCTGTCTGTTTTTCCACCCAATGTTCCGAGATTGGGGTGAGGGGGGGGAAATCCCACGGGAAAAATCGCGCCAATTTTCTACGCATTAACCCTCTCCCCTCCCCTAATCCTTTTTTCCCCCACTTGAATCATCGGAAAAATTCCCCAGACAGCCCCTAAAAAATCCCCACACCATCGGTCACTAGCTCCTGGAAAAAAGAAATTCAATTTCTTTGTTTGGCCATCGGAAAAAAGGAATTCAGCCGATAGAAAAAAAAAATCGAGCGTCACAGCTGGGGGCAAACGATGGAAAAGAGGGGGTCAAAGAGGGGCAAACGGGTGAAGGGAAAAAAGGAGGGGTAGGGGTTAAATCCCCCTAGCGGCGATGTCCGGAGACTAGGGAAAACCACCAGACGCATGCGCTCTGGGAAGCCCTCCAGTGCCAATGGCAGAAAACTCAAAATAAATCGAACATCGGCTTATGCACTGGCTCCTGAGTGCAACGAGGACAGGTATAAAACGTGTTGTTAAATTAAAAAAGGATGTAAAACGAGTGAAAACGGTATCCAACGGCGAACAGTTGAATATCTCTGTCGTGACCCCCCACTTTCAGTGTCGACACACGACTCGGTACGTACAGATATCCTACCGAGGATAAATCGAAGAAAACGAATTTTCCCCCAAACAAATATCGCGTGTTTGAAATATATTTTCGAATGAAAAATAGGGGTTCGCGTGGCGCCTAGCGACAGTTATGAAAAAACTCAGAAACAATTTTTCGTGTAAGACACGAGTGAAAATTGTCTGAAGTGATTGGTGTTTACCTCATTGTTCGCCAAGTTTTTTTTTTTTTTTCCAAGTTTTTAACACCGAAAACAGTGAAGGGAACGAGAATTCGCGGTTGTGCCTGTTGGCTGTCGCCTCACGGATGCATATGGAGGTAAAAATATGATAATTATTTATCTTCATTTTTTGTCCCATGGATTTTCCTTTGTTTGAAGGTAAAATTTCTCGGTCTACAGTCGCATGTTCGATCGTCCTGTGTTTTTTTCACATTTTATTTTTTTTATTTTTCTTTTTTTTTTAGTGTTTTGGGGGTCCGGTGGGTGAGAAAGGTGACCCCTGTGAATTAATAAATTTTAAAGAATTTTCTTTTAGTGATATTTTCAGCGTGGAACGAGGGATTTATTGGTTTTAACGTGCGAGCCTTCGATGTTGGGTCATTTCAACTACGCAATAGCACATTTCTTTGTCTCTGTATTGGATTCAAGTGGTGTCTCCATTTGTTCAATTCATCAATCATTTTTTGTAATAGTTCATGATTAATAAAGTGAATTTTTGGGATACTGTTTTCACCTCTGGGAGATTTTTCGTGGGTAAAAATCAATGTTTTATTTTCTGTCCTTTGTTGCCATTTGCTTGTCGCTCTGTCTCACTTCCTCCGATCCGGATTTGTATACATTCTCAGCTGATAGGGACCCGTGTCAGCTGCCCAGAGACAGCGATGAGGGCCGGAGTGAGACGAACGCTCAAGTGCATCAGACATAAATTCATTATTTCCATTTTCTTCATGTTTTTCCACCATTTTAAATATTTTTCCGCAGGTCATTCTCTCAATTTTCCAAGTACCAAACTCAGGTACTTTTCAGTTGCACTTCATCTATTGAAGCCAATTGGTGTTGTTTCTGTTTCCTTTCTTGTCGTTTTGTAGGGTAATCTAGACCTACTCCAGATAGCAACAACCCACATGGCACCAGTCAGACGGAAATGTAAATAAATTTGTCGCTATTCAATAATTAACAATTTGTTACCCATTTCACATGATTTATTTTTATCACTTTGGAGACAACAATTAATAAAAAAATCACAGAACTCATATCATGAATCGTTTTTTTCATGTCCCTTTGAACAATATCTTGTGGCTGCCCAAGATTTTTATTGCAGTGCCATTCGACAAATTTTTTTGTCAATTGCTCAGCAAACGCAGCTCTCACTTGCACCAGGACCTCGGGTTTTCCGATTGAATGAGAGGAGCCTGAGATCCAAGTGGGATTTGAACTTGCAATTCTCAGATTACTAAACTGATGCTCTTACCAATTGAACTCATGACAATCGATTGACAATCGATTGACAATCAATTGCGCTAACGATTTATCAGATAACCGACTGCCCATGAAAGAATTCAATATAAAAATCGGTATTCAATAGGAAAACATTTTGTTGACATTTTTTATATTGAGGAATAATGTCTTCCCCTTTGTTTTTTCCTTCAGTTCTGTCCCCAACACATCATTCAGACGCTGGCATTACCCGAGTCCACCTCGCGTGTAATTGAACCCCATGACTCATTCGTTTTGAGTCTGAAATTAAACATTATTAGCATAAATTCCGAGTTCTCTCGGTTTGTTGCTCCTCTATGAGTCGTTGTACCCTTTTATTCTCTCGTTTCGTATTTGATTTTTATCTCCAACAACGCGAGAGCTCGTGTCTTACCGCGAATATTTCGGCGATAAGATAAGGAGCATTATTAATTGTTTATCGATCACCGAATGTTGTCTATTTATTCGCTGTGAGATAGGGAAATTTTTATTCAAGTAGCTCAATGTTGTAAACCTGAAATAGTAAAGGATGATTGAGTAATCGTAAATAATTCAAAAGCTCGTGCCTCACCATTCGTGACTGAAGCCTTGCGCTATTAACTCAGCTGCAATATACAAATATTACCAGTGATACGTAAATATAAATCGGAAAGTTTATTTCCCGGGGAATAAATAAGGAGATCAAGAGAAATTCCGTGGGAAAATATTTTTATTTCGCGGTAAAAGACGCGATTCACTACAGAAGAATCAAAACACTTCGTTGACAACTTCAGCTTAAAGTTTTCCAAAAAATATCCATAAAATAATTCTCGCATTCTCAAAATATTCTGCAATACGATTTTTCTCAGACGAATTCCTTAATGCAAATAATTAATTATATTTTTGCTATTGAATTCCGTCGTGCGTGGGGGGCGTGAGGCGGGGGTGGCGGTGGGGAGGTGAAATCGATTAATCAATGAGATTGAGATTGAGGGAATTTTTGTCGATTGATTAAACCGAAAGTTGAATAATGTTATTATTTGTTCAGGTGTCCCCGAACCGGCGCTGTCTGAACCAGCTTAACAGCTGATCGGAGTACGAGGCGGCGGTGAACGGGGCCACAACTGCACCACCACCCCGCGAACGGATTAAAAAAAACCAAAACAATCGATTGTTTTTCTTCGACGATCAGCCACTTGATGAGAAGAAGGTACACCGTTCTCTAAAAAAAAAAAAGCCTCAATGAACTCACCGAACCAATTAATTCCATCAACACCTGAATGTTATCCATTATGTTATCCAATTAATAATCCGAATGATTCAATTATCATTTTGATCAATACAATTGAATTAAAATTTGATTAACTTGAACAATATTTATTTTTTGCTAATAAATTGAAATTTGCCGGTATTAATGAATGAAAATGGGGGAAAATGGTGGGTAATTGTTGATAATTTATGAATTGTTTGAAGATAGAACATTGAGGGGCCTGAGAAGATAACGGTGAGATTGACGCAAAAATGGTGAAAACTTTTCAAGCTTATCTGCCCTCCTGCCATCGCACTTACTCGTGCATACACTGCCGTGCTCACTTAGCTAATCACGACGAACTCATCTCCAAGGTTTGTTCCGTTCTTCAGTTTATTTCTGAGTCGCTCGGATGATTAATTAATAGCGCTCATTGGATTTGCAGTCCTTCCAGGGCAGCCAGGGTCGTGCCTATCTGTTTAATTCTGTGTAAGTTTATCTAATCAATGATGAAAGCGCATGAATATTCAGGGATTGTGGTGATGAATGGGAACAAATTGTTGCAGAGTTAATGTCGGCTGTGGACCTGCTGAGGAAAGAGTTCTGCTGACGGGTCTTCATGCTGTCGCCGATATTTACTGCGAGTGCTGTAAAACAACACTCGGATGGAAATATGTGAGTCATTTATTTCCTGATTTTTTGGGTGTACCAAATTCGGGGGAAAGCCTTCGGCTTCGTTCTGTGCGAGAACACCAATTAGCGGTTCCTATTGATTTTTATGAATTTTTATTTAACTGGAGAGTCGTACAATGAATTTATCGATGTAGAATTTTTTGGTAGCTTGTGTTTTCCACGGATATTCACGAATCTAATGGAAATAGCGGAATTTTTGTAATTACCTTTTTTGGAGAACGATTTGAGGAGTATGAAAAAGGTCATTATAAAAATTGTTGTACCTACGGTAGATTTTGAGATATTCGGGAAAATCGGCAACGATCAGATCAGGTGTGAGTGATTTTTTCCACTCGTGTTACATTTTCCCGTGATACAAGGAAAATTGCGGGAAAATTTGCGAGTTTTCTTTGAGAAAGTATGACTTCATTTATTGCGGTGAAAACAAATTGAAGAAGTTTTTTTTATGAGGTTTAATAAACTGGAATGAAAACAAAGAGTTGTAAAATAAATCGATTCATATTGAATTTTTGGATATTTTGGGTTTTCGGCGAATATTTACGAATCTAATGGAGATGATGTAATTTTTGTGATGACCTTTTCTGTGGGTCGTTTCGCGGGTTTCCTAAGAAGTCTTGACGAAAATTATGTTATCTCTTTTAGATTTCGCGATATTGGTGAAAAATCGACAAAGATCGAGATAACAATGAAAAAATCATTTGCAGGAGCACGCGTTCGAATCGAGCCAGAAGTACAAGGAGGGCAAATTCATAATTGAACTTGCCCACATGATAAAGGAGAATGGATGGGAATGAACCACCGACTCCAGGGTGAAGGTGGGGGAATCCCAGACCAGATAGTCCTCCACTGGAGCCCTTGATACAGGCAAACGACGCGAGTAAATAATTATTAGAGAGACAGGCTAAAAGCGCTAAACATAAAAACAATCCATACATTGTTGTTCTCATGTTTCAGTCCCTCGAGTCATAACTAAAACAGAAACTAATGAGTAAGGAAAATGACAAAGCATCATTACCCCTAAAACATAAAACAAAAAAAAAAACAAAAAAAAAACCACCAACGAAAGTCTGTGATTTCATTTGTGATTTGTAATCTTAGTAATGTTTTTCTGTTCTGGACAATTTCACTGGGAGATGAATGAAAAAATACCGATGCAGAAAACAATTTTGAAGTTGATGAAGACAAATCAAAACTTCACACAACTTCAAAATTCTGTTTTTTTCTTCCGGCGATTTTTTTGAAGATGAAAAAAACAAATACTTTTATCTGGATATTTTTTCACAGTGAGAAGGTGTTTCACGTCGCCGAGATGTTTTTCGCAATCAGAAAAACATTTTCGATATGAAAAGAAATATTTGAATTGAAGAAATGACGAAAGTCGATTATTGTGGAGGACGGGTTATTGTGGAGCCATATAGAGAGGATTTTATGACCGAAAGAGATGATTAAGTATTTGTATATTGAGAGATATTTTTGGAAATGCGAGAGATGGAAAAATTTGTTGAGACGGAGTTGAAGGATTTTTCGGTGAACTGGCTACAGTGGCGCCATTGTGGTGAATTTTTAGGAGGAAACGTGCCGACGAATAATTCGGGGAATCCCAAAGGTAACCCCTCATCTTTTTTCAATACAAAAAAAAACAGATTGAACAAATCCCCTAAAATTGAATAGACAAAAAATTGACACTAATTTTTTATCTTATCAATTCTCATCGACCTGTCCCCATGGATTCAAGGAGGCACGTAAATTCCCCAGAAAAATGCAATTGTTTGTGAAGAGAAATTGAATTTTCTCTCGATAAAAACTGATAAAAAAAAATGTTTAAATGAAATATGTAATAAGGGTGCAGCGGGGGTGCCACAGAATTTGCTGGACTGACTGCCTGCCTGCCGCCTCTATCGTTGGAATTTCACTGCCGATAATTCCTAATTAATTAATAGAAAGGGAAAAATGGAAGAAGAAGGTGCGAACGATGGTGGAGAAAATTGAGGATTTTAGAGGAAATTGGGATAAATTTACTGAGCCTGAGAATGCCCAGATTGTAGCCCCAGCGTAGCCTACTAGTGTTATGAGAAAAGCCTATATAAAATATTATAGGAATTCATTTAATGATTTCTGTGATTAACTGAAATGACGAGATGGAAAGCGAAATGTGATTATTGGCTCCTGCCCCGTTTTTCCAAAATATCTCTGAATCTAAGAGAGATCATTAAATTTTCGTCAAGACCTTCTTTATGCAGCGGATTGAGAGCTATAAAAAAGGTTCTAATACAAATTTCAATATCTCTCAAGGATTCAGAGATATTTGAAAATTTACTTACCAGTTGAATCCACTTACCCTTTACCGCTGCACTACTGATTTTTTTTCAACTCTTTTGTCCTCCAACGGAATTTTTCCCACTGCAATATCCCTCCCCTGATATCCCTGGGATATTAATACCCCGAATGTGATGAAGAATGCGAATGAAAATTGATCTCTTCATTTCACTTAATCTCAATATAGCGGATAAGAACTGTAAAGTGGGAGATATTTCAAACATAAAATTTGATGAAAAAAAAGTAAATAATAATAATAATAATTGTGAGAGATTGGAGGAGGGTAATGGTGTTAAATATCGATGAGAATGAATTTTCATGGTTGAATGGTATTAATACTGTATTATAGATAATCACTCATGTCTTTCTATTTTTTCATTTCGTCTGTGTAATTTCACGTAGCGAATTTGAATATATGACCAAATGGACATTCGGATAGTAGATATAATTTTGTAATTCATTATTTCGTTCATTTTCCATTAAAAGAAACAACTGTTTACGTATTTTTTGTTGTTCATTTGTCTTTTGCAGAAATCATTCGTCTTTTTACGTATAAAAAAAAATAGTAGAAAACCTAGAGCTTTTTATTCTAGAATCCTAGTGAATTTTCGATGATCGGTCTTGGAAGTAGGGAAAGATCATTAAAATACGCCGCCATCTTGATTAGATAGCCCCTCCCTTTGCCATATGGAGACTCAAAGATGGCGACGCCTTCACCTCGAATTTTTAAATAATCATTATAATTATTTCACTTCTTGATATCACTTCCAAATAATTCTATTCTGTTCTTATGAAGTGAACAATTTTTTTGAGCCATTCGTCAGATATTTTCATCCATTTTTCGCTGATAATCCACGGAACAGTTTTTCCATAATTTTAAAAGAAAAAATCTGTATGCTTTCCTATTAAATATCCAAAATTCGATAGTATTTCAATAGGATCTCTAGAGAAAGGACTAGATTTATCTATTTTTTTTTCATACGTATTTTTTTTATTCACAAATATTGAAATTTGGAGTTATTGTTTGTTGCACGTGCACGAGAGTGAATGTGAATTATCGTTTCAGGTTTCACTTTCTTCATACTCTCGTTGAGTGGAATAAGGAGATGCGTAGGAATTCCGTGTGAAAATTCCAGTTTTACGGGAAATATAAAGCAATTACCTGAGAAAGTACAAGTTTATCATGAATGATGCGGGCGCCATTTTGAAACGCCTGAGAGTCGCCATTTCGTGGCACATGACGAGCGGCCATCTTGTTCTCCAGTTATCAATCGATTATCGGTGTTTCAGGACTAGAGACAGGGAAATGGTCATTCGTTTCGTGTTTTCGAATGGAAATTTTCTGGTTTTTCAAGCCCAACGCCTGCAATTCCTCCCCCCAAACTCCGTTATCGAGATAACCCCAAAGAATCTTTTTTTATTTCACTCAACTTCCAATTCTTCACCCACTTAACGACCAATGACAAAAAAAATCATCTCGAGAATTTTTTTTCGGCTTCGGATGTCACGGGAATCGACTCAAATATTTTTCATGCATTAATTGGTAAATAAATTGTGCGAGAGGTTTTTACACTATAAAAATTGTTCCTCGGGATAAACGAATCCAATTTTCTCCAAAGACTTTGATGAGAATTCTTTCCAGATCCCCTTGTCATCCTCAACTGAAAATTGATCTCACCCTCAATCGCAAGCCATTCGATGCAACTAATTTTCGTGAATAAAAAAAAATGCACATTCAGACGACGAAACTAATAAAAACCAAAATTTGATGTATTGCGAGTGCTTGAGCGTATGACTGTGACGGCCTAATCCTCTACATGTCTCTCGAGAGTACTTTTGATATCAATGTGGTGAAACAAAAAAACTAAAATGACAAAAAAAAAATGAAAAAATATAATGAACTAATTATTTTTCTCCTCCAGTGTTTTCCCGTTTCATTGTACCTCCACCTGTTTGTGAAACTTGAGTTGAAATTTTATGTAAGAAAATTGTAGACACCATTCACAGTTGATTATTACATAGAGACTTATTCAATTCAGTTACACCAAGAAATAGAAAAAAAGGCATAAATATACGGAGCGAATAGGAATCTGATTTGTCGAAGTGGTCGAAGGGAGATGGAATCACAAGTTGATTTTTTTTATGAATAAAAATTTAAAAAACCGACTAACACCTGCCAGAAGTTCTTTCTTCTCCCATCGTATCATTGATTAATCATTAATAATTAATTAATCATTAGGTAAGTGGGTGCAATACCAACTTTTGATTAAATTTATTTGATATCTCGACTAGCCACCAAGCAACAGCCTAACTTACCAGAATTATGACAAAAATAGAGTTGGACTCCACTAGGTGAAGATGATGACCAGATCATAAATCATACATGATTTTTTTGGGGTTCGTACCAGCGCCGTACTCGCCGCAAACCCTGGGTAACGCCGTGCGCTGATTT